TCACTCCTGCTGCTCTCTCTCTCTCAGGTAAAATAGCATAGAATATGATAGCTCTCCTGATTCATCATATTGGAGCATGCAGGTGAACCTGTCTCCTAATCATGGGTTGCGCTTCTGATTACTGCCCCCTAGTACTTCTCTGCGATCATTAACAATTTTGCTCCAATCTTTCACTATTAAGCATTCCTCGCTTTTAGGAATCCTAAATGCACTCATGTGCAATGTAGGATGTCTTGGTCGTAAGCTAACCATTGACATGCGACCTTTAGTCTCGATCCACTGAGGCACAACTATCATCCGGAGTCCCTGTTCAAGAACATCGTAATTTAATATACTTAATTAGCAATGTAAGTTTAGCTTGAAAAGTAATGTATGCAAAAGATGCACTGAGGATAAATGGTAAAAATCATACCATCTTTCCTAAATAGATGTGGTTGTAGTTCAATACGATCACTACTGGTCGCACGATTTGAGTACTAAGATTTTCAAATTCAGGAAAATAATTTCTCTTGACAGCATCAAGATCCTCAAGCCATGAAACATAATGACTTGTCTCCTTGCAGTTTAGTTCAGCCCCGGGACAGTGGACGATCCTGTCTACCAAGCGCCGGACATGTTTGCTTGAATGGAAATAAGCTGTCAATAAAAATTACTTGTCAACTATTTTTGAATAAACAATATCGAAAACATAAATATGGTTGATAAACTCACATAATGGTAGAACTGGAGGCGTCTGCACATCGACCGAGATGTCTCTATTACCTTCAATATCATCTTCCAGACGAATATCAAAGGTGATAACCATATCAGGCTCAAATGCATAAGCCTTGCATAGTGCTTGCCAAGTTTTGCATTCAAAATAGTTGTATGTGTCTGCATTGTATAATTTGATGTTGAAGGTATAACCATGCTCGGTCTTCAAGTAAACTTTTTTTACCTTCATAGTTTTGTTAGGACTAAAACCTATCTTATCCAAGAAAAAAATTCTTGCATGGCAGGGAATACGCTAGTAGAATAGTGAAAAATTAAAATTATAAGTTGAAGCAAATAAAACATAAGTCATGCTTAATTACGAAAAAAGAATTGTCGTTGTGACTTACTGTATCCACTTCGAAGTTTTCATCCAGCTTGATGCTGAAGCGCCTATCATCAACTAGAAAATTTCTGTCGCACAGGTCGCGCTGGTCTTCGCAGTATTCGCACATAATAAAACCGTGTTCGTCGTCAGACGACATTCCTATGTTCATAGGTGAAACATTAAACACTTATTAGTTCTATTAATTCAACTAATTCAACTAGTTCTATTAATTTAACTAGTTCAACTAATTAATTCAACTAATTCAACTAAGCACTTACTAAAAATATACCTAAATAAATTAGCTCAACCAATTCAACTAACTAGTTCAACTAATTAATTCAACTAATTGAACTAAACTAGTTCTATTAATTTTTTACTAAAAATAAAGTAGCTAGTTCTATATAGTAAAGTTTTAATTAAATGATCAAATCTCATATAACTAAATTAAATATATATATATATATATATATAACATATATTTTCCATCTAATTCATCTAACATTTGACATTAATATATAACATATGTTCATATATAGGTGAAACATTAAACACTTACTAGTTCTATTAATTCAACTAAATAAACTAGTTCTATTCATTCAACTAAGTCAACTAAGCATATAAACATTAAACACTTACTAGTAATATTTTAATTAGATCATCAAATCTCACATACCTAAATTTTCTTACTAAAAATAAACTAGTTCTATTAATTCAACTAAGAATTTACTAAAAATAAACTAGTTCTATTAATTTTCTTAGTAAAATATATAAAGTAGTCATATATGGTAATATTTTAATTAGGTCATCAAATCTCATATACCTAAATTTTCCTACTAAAAATAAACTAGTTCTAATTCAACTAGCTAGTTCAACTAAGCATTTACTAAAAATAAACAAGTTATATTAATTCAACTAGTTTAAATAATCTCATATACCTAATTAACATCTAGCTAATTCATCTAACAATTGACATTAATATTTAACTTTTCTATTTAATTCATCTAACATTAACATTTTAACATTCTTAGCTAGGTAATTCATCTAATTCGATCATCTAATTAACGATTTGACATGCATTAATCTAAAAAACAGAAAACAGAAAATAAGTAAAAAAATGTGTGTGTGTGTGCGCGCGCGCGCATGCGTGTACGTGTGTGTGTGTGTGTGTGTGTGTGTGTGTGTGTGTGTGT